GGGAAAACCACAAAATGGCTGCCAGGCTCTTTCTGGGTGTCGGCTTTTAGCTCTTTCCTGCTCTTTTTCCTGTGGTTTGGGGGCTACCAAGGCCTGGTAAGTGACTTTATTTAACAGTACAGTATTTATTTTTAAGTTTCTGACCCTTTTCCCCCCTCCAGAAGCCTCTAAGGGGAGGGAGGGGGGACTTTTTTCCCTGTTCGTAACTCGAGGGAAGTTCGCATGTAGAGTCCTTACTTTCCCTCTAGGGCAGGTACGTAACTCGAATTGTTCGCAAGTCGGGTCGTTCGTAAGTCGAGACCCCACTGTATTTTCAGTTTCCTGCTCCAGTCAAGAGACCATTTGTCTTCCATTCCTCGGTCTCATCGTTGTGATGAGCACTTTTATGCTCAATTCTTCCTTAGGCATTGGCTTTATAAACATGATTATGTATGATTGATGTACTCAGTACTTTAAAATACACAGATGTGGAAACATTTGGAAACTCTTTTGAGCTCCTTAGAGAATGAGCTGGGTATAAGTGCTATGCAACTCAATAAACGACAAAGAGTTTAACATCTAAATTATTGTAGTGAGTTTATGAGGGAAACAGAGAAGGAGAAATACATTGGATATAGCTTAATTTGTTACGAATTAGAACAAGTTTAAAGGTTTTGAAATAGAAAACATTGGGAAATATGTAGGCTTGGATGATATAAACAAGTGTAACATTACATTCTTCCACATTTTTTCTGGTAGGCTTCCATATTTGTTTAAAAGTATTGGCAAGAATCCTGTGGGGAACAACCATATTCAAATGCCCCCCACCTTCGGCAGACTATCTGTCATGTCACTATCATACACTGGTTGCAAAAACAGTTGCACAAAGCACAGCCTGCCAAAAAGGGGGAACTTCACAATTACTATGGTGTGCAGTTTCCCCTGTACTAGATTCTGGCCAATATGCTCTGAAGGCTAGGTAGCCTGTACTTACATCTTCATTCTTGCACAATATTGCTCTGTTGATATAATAAAGCAGAACTTCTGTCTTCCTATGTTCATGTACTGTAACTCCTGAATCTGCTGTGTTATCCCAGTTTGTTTGTCTGAATCCCATACTTCCCTGCCATGTAAATTAACCATGACAAACTTATCCCATTGATTTGAAAGTGACTAAAGCATGACTAATTTAATCTGAATCCAACTCTATATTGTGTTGTGATGTAAACAAAAGTACTGGAAATATCAACTTTCATCTACAGCATTGGTTCTTAACCTTGGGTTACTCAGGAGTTTTGGACTGCAACTCCCAGAAGCCTTCACCACCAACTGTGCTGGCTGGGGTTTCTGGGAGTTGCAGTTCAAAAACATCCGAGTAACAAAGGTTAAGAACCACTGATCTACAGTATTGCTGCCTAACTGAAAAATATGGAGCTAAATTGTGTTTGTTACCTTACAGGGGTTTCAAAAGATGCAGTAGCAAAAATGGATTGGTTGCAGTGAAGATTATGAATGGAATCCATCAAGTACCATACCCCTTTTCAGTTTGCTTTGTGAGAGACTGCCTGTAGCCTTCAGAAGAGCAAGCCAGCAAAGAAGGAATATCTATCATCATGAAGTTGAAACAGCGGGTGGTGCTTCTTGCAATCCTTCTTGTCATCTTTATTTTCACGAAGGTTTTCCTCATAGACAACTTGGATACATCAGCAGCTAACCGTGAAGACCAACGTGCTTTCCACCAAATGATGGCAAGCCTGCGTGTGGAACTGGATCCACGACTGGACCACACATTGCAGTCTCCCTGGGAAATTGCAGCTCAGTGGGTGGTGCCTCGTGAAGTGTATCCAGAAGACACACCAGAACTGGGAGCAGTGATGCATGCCATGGCTACAAAAAAGATAATCAAAGCAGATGTGGGCTACAAGGGCACCCAGTTGAAGGCACTGCTCATATTGGAAGGTGGACAGAAGGTAGTCTTCAAACCTAAGAGGTAAAATGCTTGCTCTCGTATGTCTGGATGAAGTCATACTTAGTTTTCCTGTTACCATCTTTATGAGTTCCATGACAGTTTCTTCAAAGTGGACTACCTCATCATCATTTACCAATGGAAAGAGTGACAAATGAGAAGAGAGATTGAGGAGAAAGGCAACTGCCCATGCACTTCTTCATTATAGTGCAAAAGTGTGGGAAAAGGGGAGGCCTGATATTACTGTCCTTGCATTATTTTCTCACTTTTGTCTCATCAAGTATGTCTAACATGTTTCTGATGTTACCAGAGCAGTGTAACAGAAAGGTTGCTGATCCCATACTACTTCATCTCTGTCAGTGTCACCAGTATGTCTGTGGACATTGAGATTCCAGAAGGATCATGTGGCTGGTTGACTGTGAGTTGCTAGTAGCTATTGGGAAATGCTTGAATGTGTGGCCATTTGCAGGGAGGTACAACTGAGGGGGGAAAGGTTGCAATAGACTTTTTGCCTTAGTAAGAATTACCTTGGTGTGATTCAGAAATTCTATCTAATTCTACCTGAGGTTTCCATATATCAAATGAAAAATCCAGCACAATGCCCTAACTGTATCTCTTGTCACAACTTGTAGATATGCAAGAAACTACGTGGTAGAAGGGGAACCATATGCTGGTTATGACAGGCACAATGCAGAGGTGGCAGCATTCCATCTGGACAGGTATAAAAATGTTGAATTAAAATCCTCTTTTGTTGGAGATGGGAAATTGGCTTCTAAGCCGTTTCCTTAAACACTGAAAGTGAACTTTTTTTATTCATATCAGAGCATTGCACAATTTCAAAACATGGCCTTATAAAACAAATAACAATATTAAGATACTTGAACTGTTTTGTTTTTTAAAATAAATGGAGCTGAACTGAATTGGCTGAAATTGTGAGACGAAAGTGGTTTCTTCTTAGATTGCTAACTCAACCATTTGGTCCTTTGATTTTATTTATAACACAATTGCCACAGATTTTTTTTTAGTTTTTTAATTCCTAAATACTGATTTCAAACAATTTTTAAGGTGGGCTAAGGTGCAACCATTGATACAAGCTGGTTATGGATGGCACGTAAAAACTGCCCTCAAGACACTCGACAGGGAAACTGAGGATAAAAAGTGAGTCTATATTTGGCAGATAGGCAATTAGCAAAAAATGTGGACTTGTAATTTCTGTGGAAGCTGATTGGATAGCCTGGTGAGTTAGATGTCTGGCAACAGCCAGAGTTTGGGAGTCCTGATTCCCCACGGTGCCTTCCAGGAGAAAAGCCAGCCTGTGTAGCCTTGGGCAAGTTGCACATTCCGGGGGCGCCTCCAGAAGAAGAGAATGGTAAACTACAGTGGGGTCTCTACTTAAGAACTTACTCCGTATTGGAAGGTGGTTCTCAAGTTGAAAAGTTCTTATGTTGAATCTGCATTTCCCATAGGAATGCATTGAAAATCATTTAATCCGTATCTGCTCTTTTCCGTCCATAGAAACTCCAGTGGAACCTCTACTTAAGAACTTAATCCGTTTTGGAATGGTGTTCTTAAGTTAAAACGTTCTTAAGTTGAAGCAAAATTTCCCATAGGAATGGACTGAAAACCAATTAATCCGTTCTGGCTGTTTTTTTGTTATGTAGAGGTGTGTTCGTACATTGAAGCATTAGTTCCCATAGGAACTAATGCAAAGCTGGTTAATACGTACTCTACCACTAGGGGGAGAATTTTTTTTTTTAACCTAAGATGACCTAAGGTTAAAAAAAGAGCAGGAAAGGTTTTTTTTCCTGTTCTTATCTTGGATTTCTGTTCTCAAGTAGAAGCAAAATTTAGCAAATGGAGCTGTTCTTAAGTTGGATTGTTCTTAAGTAGGGACATTCTTAAGTAGAGACCCCACTGTACTTTTTAGTATTCTATACCTAGAAATTCCGAAAAGCATTAATATAGGTCAGAGCTGACTTGGCAGCATGTAATATATTATAACATCTGTGGGCCTGTTAGAAAGCTGCGCTAAAACTACTAGAAGATGTTTGAAGGGTATGCAATGCAGCCCCCTTGCAGAAATGAAGCTGCTCTGAATTTGGTCAGTACCTAGATGGGGGGTTACATGGGAGCTCCAGTTCCAGCAGTAGGAGTTCAATAATGGGTAAAAATCATAATATAAATATATTGGCAAAGTTTCCCTCCTTATCCTGCCTTGGGTTTCATCAGCAGTAGACGAGCAGTAGTTAATGCTTAGATGTAGCTTATACATTCTTTCAGCTGTTCTTTTTAAGAGATGGAGCAGAATTATCCCTTATTCCTAGAATACTTGATCTAAACCTGTGTTTGAAGAGAACTTAATCTGAGTAGAGCCACTCCAAGCCTGACTTGAACAACTAGGCAATGGCCAGCCTTCAAATGCTGTAGCTTTTGGAGGTGAACTTCATTAAGTTACAAAAACTTACTGTACACATTTATCTGTTGTGTGCCACATTGCATGAGTCAGTATGCACATATACTGTCTGTGATGATTTCTTAACTTGAAGCAGTTCACTTCCAAAGGTTTCACTACTTGTGTTTTGCTTATCGGTGTGATCAACAAGATTTGGGCCAGTTTGTTTTGAGAGTCAGACCAGTTATTCAGTGCTCTTGGACAGCCTGCATAGTAGCAGATTCTCCATTGTTTAACTGTAATTCTGCTTTCAGTGCTGCCGTCCATGTAATCTATGTAAGGCAGATGGCATCCTTGCATGTGCAATACGAATTTCTGACCAGAGATAGGAATTGTCATCTCCTGCTGATAATATTTGGTGAATTCTAGGACTTGACATCCAGAAATGTAACTTAATTTATTCTGATATGGTTAAACTCTGGTCTTTCAGTTGCTAATTCATGCTCTTAAAGGTTTAATGGCGGGTTCCTTTCTCAGACAAGTGATGGTGGAAGAGTTCCTCTGCATTTCAACTTCCCACATAATGTTTTTTTCCTATTCATTCTCCATCAAACAGAATCTTAGGTTTCCGAAGAGCGCCCCTGGTTGTTGGCAGGTTTGTTAACCTCCGCACAGAGATCAAACCTGTTGCTACAGAACAGCTGCTTAGTACCTTTCTGACAATAGGTAGGTGGCAAAACAAAATTTGATGAAGGCAGCTAAAATACAATCAGATAAGCTTGCAAAGGCTTTCCAGAATATTAACTCTGGCTGCTTGGTGTTCTTTGAGCTCCTTCTTGAGATATAACATTCCCATATTGAGCAAAAGTATATGATAGCCTTGCACTTTTTTCTCCCTCTTATATTGTCCCAGATATCTTCTGTATTGACATGGTGTGGCATCATGTCTGCAGTACAGTACTGCCCCCATAGCTGCAGTTTCACTTATCCATGATCTGCCGCAGCCCTATATACAACATACAAGGGTACCCCTTTGTATATAGGATTCACACGTATCTGCGGTTTAAGGCATGAACAGTAGATTGCGGAATCGATCCTGTGCAGATTTGAAGTGTCCTACTGTAATAGTAGCACTAGGAGTGGTAAGCTTTAACTGGAGTCATAATGTCAGGGTGTAAATTCTATTTTGAAGTGTTACTGTGTTGCCATTATCAGTGGTTCAAATATGACACTGCACCATGGTTGGTGGTGGAGAGGAAATGAATTAGGGAGCATGGCATTCCACAGTACCATCCCGGTCTCCTAACTTATTTCACATGTTGCTGTAAGCAAAGGAAAACTGCTACTGAGAAGCAGTCTTTACCATTGTACAGTGGGGTCTCAACTTAAGTAATTAATCCGTATTGGAAGGCAGTCTGCAAGTCGAAAAGTTCGTAGGTCGAATGTGCATTTCCCATAGAAATGCATTGAAAACCATTTAATCCGTATCTGCTCTTTCCGGACCATAGAAACTAATGGGAAGCTGCTATTCTGCCTTCTACCACTAGATGGGGATATACAGTATTTTTTATTTTTTCTTAGGTCAAGAAGAGTTCAGGAACGGAGTGGGGAGGCAAGGAACAGAGGGGGGGAGGCAGGGAACAGTGTTAAAAGCACTTTTGAAATTTTTAGCCCAGTCTTTGCAACCCAGCACATTTAAGCACAGACCCACAGGAAAAAAATCCCCCCCAAAACTAAACACTGCAAGCCCCTGGGGCTGCAAAAAAACAAAACAACACAAACATAACCCCACCAGCCCAATCCCACCCTGCAAAAGACCAAAAAAAAAAAAGTTTTAAAGAAGCAAAAAGCAGAACCTTACCTGAGGAGGCCTCCCAGATTCTAACCCACGCTGCTGGGCCAAGGCTCTGGCTACCGCCGCCGGCGGGCCTGGCCTCTGCCACCGGGCCAGGGCTACGGCCACTGAGCCTGGCCACCCCCGCCGCCTTTCTCCCCTGCAGCGCTTTGGGAGAAAGGCCGGATCGGCTCTGGCCTTTCATCCCCGCCAAAGGGCTGCCCCAATGGTGGTTTCAGCAGCGGAGAAGCCGGGCCGGGGGGGGGAGAAAGGGGGGAGCCGATCAGGGCTTTTTTCCCCCACCGGGCAGCTTTGCAGCTTCTCCGCTGCTCCTCCTGCGGTGGCCACGCAGACCCCAGCATGCCTAAAGTCATCAGCACGGGCGAGGGCTGGCCGGCATCGATTACCGCCGCGCCGAAGAGGCCCTGGGCGGCTTCCCCTTAGTGATGATGGAAGCCAGGGAGAACTCGCTTGCAAGGAACAGCCAGCCCAGCTTCCGGCTGCATGTAAGAGCCCCGGCGATGGGGGAAATCCATCGGGCGCTGAGCAGGGGGGAGGGGTGGGTTCCCACCGATGGCTAGGGAGTCTCTCCTTAATAGGTTTCCCCGGCTGGGGAGCAAGACCTTCTCACCGCCGCTGCTGCGCTGCCCTTCGCTTGCTCTGGTTGGGCTTTCCCATCGCCTCCCTTTTCCAAACCGTTGGTGCGAAAGAGCGAAAGAAGCAGCCTCTTCGCCACCAACGGTTTGAATTTCCCGCCCTTTTCCCCTGCCTTTTCAGTCCGTACGTCGAAGCTCTGGCCGCAAGTCGATCTGAAATTTTGCGGCTGGAGCTGTACGTACGTCGAAAAGTACGCAAGTCGGACCGTTCGTAGGTCGAGACCCCACTGTACTCTCTTTGTTAGTGGCTGTACCTATGATCACAGTTTTCAGTGTGAATTTCGGAAGATTACTTTGAAACAGTAATTACTTTTTGAACCATAAATGTAAAAATAAACTATACTAGGAACTTCCTTCAAACCCTATATCTGGCTTTGTGTAGGAAGATAAGTGTACAAAATACATTGACTTAATACTTGAGTTTTTAAATTCTGCCTTTGCATCCATCTAGGCTTTGGTTTATCAAAATACGTTTTGTAGTTTGCCTGGATACTTTTTTTCCACAATATAAGGGAAGAAAGCAGGAGAAGCCAGGTTTTCTCTTATGCTAGTTCATATTATTCATCATTTTTCTGTGTCAGTCTTTTGTGTCTACTCAGAAGCAAGTCATACTGAGTTCATTCACTGTTACCTGCTCTCATCTAAATGAGAATAGTCTTACAGCCTTCTATGTTAAAAGGTTTCTCTTCTAGAAATCTTCCAGATTTTTTTTCGGAAGCTCTTGAAGCTTTAAAAATGCTAACCTAGAAGTAACATGCTTTTTTTTCCCCAAGGGAATAATACCTGTTTCTATGGGAAGTGCTATTATTGCCGGGAAACAGAGCCAGCTTGTGCTGAAGGAGATGCAATGGAAGGATCAGTTACACTGTGGCTACCAGATGTTTGGCCTCTTCAAAAGCATCGGCATCCATGGGGCAGGACGTACAGGGAAGGAAAACTTGCCAGGTATGGAGTTCATCAGGGTCATGGTTTTGTTGCCATATATTGTGCAAAGAATGGGCTGTATTTACAGATCCAGAGGGGAGCCTCAGACTGTTTGTTATAGCTCTAGACCTTTAATATTATTTATTTTGATAGAATTGAAGGTTTAATCTGATAAAATAAATGGAGAAGCTATTCCAGTGCAGTGAACAAAGGATGCCTGGAAGCAAGGTATGAAGGATTTCTAAAGAAACTGAGAAATGCAGTCCATTTTGTGTTCTTGGCCATTTCCTTCCAAAGAATGAAACCATTGTAACGATCAGCTCCCCTAGAGGATGCTTGACCATTGGGACAGAGAGTAATTAGAAGCCTGTGCTCGACTCCTGGTAACTTCAGCCAAAGGGCTGCCCCAACACTTCTGCTTACAAGTCTGCCCTAAAAAGATACTTCAGCAACCTTAGAAAATTCCAAAAAAGAAAGACACATGAGCTATGTAGTCAGTAGACTCACTTTGCTCAATATGGATAGAACTCAGTAGCAAAATGTGGCCTAATAATTCCCCATCAGGGTCATGCTAAGACAGCTCCACTGTTCAAGAGACCAATTGATTTTTATAATTATTATTTTATTAAGAAAAATATAGAAATTCACAAAATAAAGTCAGTTTAATGCATAAGCAAGCATGTTATCATTTTCAAGGAATGATACAAAATATAAATGAAGCAACAATTCTCTTTAAATACAAAAACACTAAAAAAAATCCTAGAAAAATCTATAAAAAGCTCTATTAGGGTGGGCAAAAGGCTTAAAGCCCCCCTTTCCACCTAATCACCTACATCTCTATGAGTCTGTTACCTGCACTGCACAGCAGGCAACAAGACCTAGCAAAACTGTAGTCCAAAAAGTCCAAGAATGAAAAGAAAAAGTGAGATATTGTGCATGGTAATAGTTCCTTTTTCAAGCTTAGCTGGAAACCCCCCTTTTTCTCCATCTCTTACGCTGTTATCTAATCACGGCATGAAGTCAGGTAAGCAGTCCCTCTTTATCTTCTCTTCTCATGGGAACAGGTGGTGTTTTCCTCAGTATGTCTGCCATTCAGCCAAAACAAATGACCAGTCTTCTTATCTAGGAATGTCCTCCTCAGGCCTACAGAAAAACATTCCCACATCCTTCCAGAAACACACTGTCAGCATGCAGAAATCATTTATATGGAGAACCAATATGGAATCCATTTTACATTGTTCACTACTACATATCCCATTTAGAAATTACATGCTAGCTTCAATAACCTAAACCATGACAACCATCAGCGTAGATGGAACACTGGTGGTATAGTGTAAGCTAGGAATGGGACTTTAGTGTTTGAAGGACTTCCACCTCTGTAATTCAGTGGGAACTCCCTGGCCCAAATTATGGGAGTGAATGCCCCATAGTGGCATGAAGTAGTCTACCTGCCTTCAGTTCCCTTGCCATTCCTTTGGTCAGTGGGAGAAAAGTGCTCCACTGCTCTGTGAGACTCATGAGATTCCCTGAGACTTGCAAAGTCCAAAGGAGAGCAAGTTCCAACAGAGGCTACCTCTTTATATAGTATAGGGAGACAGCCTCTGTCTCTGACTTCTCAAGGAGCTTTGCAGTTGTATTATACAACTTTGTTATACATACCAGTCAAAGATTATTTTTGAATAATAATAATTGCTTCTATCAATTGAAATCTGACTTATGGTGACCCCTTCTAGGGTTTTCTAGCGATACAGTATACAGGCTACCACTTGCTTCTTCTGGTGGCTCTCCAGGATTGTGTAACTTACATCTACAGTGGTTGGCTGTTCTCCAGAGGAGAATTGAATTCCCAGTCTCTTTCCAACTCAGTGAGCTATCCACCTAGCTCATTTAAAAGCAAGTTGAAATCTCTTCCTACTCATATCATTATGGTTGTAAAACATAAGGGTAACAACTGGAAATACCTATTTCGTTTAGGATACAGGGCTAAGGGATAACTGTTTCCCATTTCTGCTCTTCAAATATTTTGAAATACTTGCTCTTTCTCATTTTTTGTTCATTTGTTCCCTTAAATAAATGACTGCTTCCCTGTAGCAGAGGAACCTAATATTAGGTTCAGCATATTGTCTTTTGCTTTAAGCCATAGGCAAAATGAGGAAATTCTTCCCTTTTGTGTGGATTTCTATTAAATGATTAATAATATAGAATCTGTTTTACCATAGGTCGATGGTGCATAGAATTAAACACTCAGATTGTAATGAAGAAATACAGAAAGGACCTGCTAGAAAAGGGCAAGCTATTTTTAAAGAGACCTGGTTTGTGCAAAATGATAGTACAATTCAGACAGTATGAGATTCCATGAGACTTGCAGAGTCCCATGGGAGAGTGAGTCTCTGTGATGCTTGATCATTTTGTACATAAATCTTAAGAAAATTAAAACTTTGGTTCATATTTTTCACATCTGTTCACAGGTGGGAATATGATGAAAGTTACTGTGATGCTGTAAAAAAGACTTCACCCTATGACTCAGGTCCGCGGCTCCTTGATATCATAGATACAGCTATCTTTGATTATTTGATTGGGAATGCTGACCGGCATCATTATGAAAGTTTTCAGGATGATGAAGGGGCCAGCATGCTTATTCTGCTTGACAATGCCAAAAGGTATGAGAATTGTTAGTACCCATCAAATTTAGCAAAAGTATGACCATGAGATTACTTTTGGCTTCTTTTGACTACCACTTTTTGAGCTCTCCCAAATGGTTTCTTGCTTTTTGTTATTATATCAAGCCTGTTAATGCTCATGCATTTAATTTACTTCAGTTTGTTTGGGGGTTAATTGAAATGGCAAGTTGGGTCTATTTGCATTGCAAATCCTTACCTAACATTTTGAGAGCAGTTGAATTTTTCATAGATATCAGTTGATTGATACCTGTTTCTTTTTCAGCTTTGGGAATCCTTCCCTGGATGAGAGAAGCATCCTTGCACCTCTTTATCAGTGCTGCATGTGAGTAAAGTTTAAAGAAGCTGTCTGCCTTAGAAAAGAAATTGCCAGTGACTAACATCCCCTGCCCCAAATATCTTGGGAATAGATGTGTCTAGCAGTGAAGCTAGACTTGTTCAGAACACAGAGATAACAGTTACTAAATACAAAAACCTGATGTTCTAAATAGAACAACTTGGTAGTTATAAAACTTTTCATATCAAATTTTATCTGAGTCCGTAAAACAGCTATCTGCTAAAGGAAGGATAAGTAAAGCATGAACAACCAATGGATTGAATCGATAAAGTGGTCTGGATTGGCTGGAATCCAGTGAGGAGGGCTTGTGTGTGCGTTTGTGTGTGCTTTTCACACCTTCTGTCTTGGGTTGGCCGGCCGGCCTGGCTCTGTCTTGAATACTTTACTTTTTTTTTTTATTTAGAGGGGTGTCCCCATTTCTTTGGAATATATTTGCTGCTGCCATTAGGCAGCCTATCTGTGCCAGTATGCTCCTTGTTATTTATCTCTTTGGGATGGTGAGTGGATCCTTTCCTAGATTTTTTGGGGTTTTTTTTTAGAAATTATTATGTGTTTAATTTACTTAGTATTACTGTTAAAGGTGTATATTTTGATGGGTGTTTGGGGGTATTGTTTTGGGGGGTTAACTTCAGTTGGTTGGGACTTATGACTGTGCTAGTGTGCCCTGGGTTGTAGGGTTGTGGTTGATTGTGTTGTTGCCTGATTTTGGAATTGATTTTGTTGCCTTGTCACACACACCCAGTTCCCCTGTTTGTTTTTCTACACACCCAGGTTCCCTTTTGGGCACGACATGTACTTTTCGCCCTTTTTCGCTGCCACCAGAGGATATGTTCCTCTCTGTACCAAATATGACTATTAGATCAGTGTTGTCCAATATAACAATGTTTATTTATGGGTTTGTAGGTAAATCATATAAAGAAAATCATGGATGGTCTTTTATTAATCATTCATTAAACATTGCTTTGATTACATTCATGTTTGCTTATGTAGATTCACTTTAATCAAGGTATTTATATATTCAACTATTTATTTATTAGCACTTTTAACTCTTTCCAATCTTAAACACATAAACTTTCCAAGATGTGTCCTATTCCTATCTTTTTCTCTATCTCTCTGTTGCTCTTCTCTCTAACACAACCACGGCCTTAACTGCCTAAACTGTCTTTTTTTCCTCCTTTTTTTTCCTGGTTCCGCCCCTTCTGTCATGTCATAGGCTCCCATATCAGAGTCTGACCTGATTGACAGGAGAGTTCTGAGAGCTGTCCGTCACATCTTGTTTCTCTAATATTTTTGGAATAGTTTTTAAGGGTTGTTGAGGGATCTGGGATTGATTCTTTGTTGCCTTACGTCTCTGCTTTTTGGAGTTGTTTTTAAGGGTTCTTTAGGGCTTTTCCAGTGCCAAAATCATGAATGGGAAACCAGAATTAAAAGACCCAAAAGAGACTGTCCCCTTCATGAAAACTAAAGGACGAGTGTGCCCATTGCATTTTCTTACTTTGAGGCACTCCTCCTTTAGTTTTCATGAAAGGGACAGTCTCTTTTGGGTCTTTTAATTCTGGTTTCCCATTCATGATTTTGGCACTTGAAAAGCCCTAAAGAACCCTTAAAAACAAATACAAAAATGTTCAGTGAAGCAAAAACAAAAGAAAATTAGACAAAAATGCATTTCAAATTCATCATATTTACCTTTTCCCTTTCTTTTTCTTTGAGGAGGATTTTTATGTATCACCTGACAGGTTAAGCTGGTTCAAGAAATTTTCAGATTAGGCATCCTTCAATCTCGAGAGACTATGGCGTGCTCTGTATCGAGGCCTTGGAACAGTGTCTAGTGTGGCTGAAAACGCCAATTCGAGAGTGACAATCCCTTCCACACTGAAGACAAATACAATCTGTCCCCTGTCCAGCTCCCTGATTTTGCTGCTTTCATGACTGCCTATTTGCCTCGGCCTGCTGGACAAGGGTCTCTTCGAATTGGGAGGGGCCGTGATGCAACGCCTGCCTCCAGGCTGAATGCTCATATGTCAGGTTTTCCCATCTGTTGAGGTCCATTCCTAAGGCCTTTGGATCCCACTTGCAGATATCCTTGTATCGCAGCTGTGGTCTCCCTCTGGGGCGATTTCCCTGCACTAATTCTCCATACATGAGATCTTTTGGAATCCGACCATCAGGCATTCTCATGACATGCCCAAGCCAATGTAGACGTCGCTGTTTCAGTAATGTATACATGCTAAAAATTCCAGCACGTTCTAGGACTACTCTATTTGTAACTTTGTCCTGTCAGGTGAT